GAGGCGGGCGGGGCCCGGGCGCTGCTCCCCATCCCGGTGGCGGCCGCGGCCAAGGAGACGGTAGGTGTGTGCGCTCCCGCCTCAGGGCCCGGCGGCCTCTGGGCCGTGAGGAGACGGCGGGAATGGCGGGAGGGATGGCCGCTGACCACCCTCACTGCGGTGTGTGGAGGCGGCGGCGGCGGCGACGGGAGCCGGTGTCCCCGGGCTGTGGCGCAGAGGTGACCCCGGGCCGGGAGGCGAGGGCAGGGGACGGGGCCGGGGCTTGTCGCCCGGTCGCCGTGGGGAGAGGGGAGCCTTGGGATGGCCATCGCTGCGCCCCGAAACCTAAACCGTGTGCCTCTGGAGCTGTCCCCAGCCTTTCTTTCCTTGATAAAAAATGGCATTTTTTGGCAAATAGTGCGAAAGCCATGTCTGCCCTCTTCATCTTTTAGGACAGTTATCTCTTTATTATAACACTTTCTGTGGAGGGAAAGGTTTGTGCGGCGTGAGAAGAGGTAGCGTGGCGCTTGGCGCAAATACGTAACACCTCTAAATACGTAACACCTCTAAATACGTAACACCTCCGCTAATTGAGGGAGAAGGTGGGCTGACTGACAAAACCCCGTGTGTGTGTTTGTTTTGTTTTGTTTTTTTTTTAACACGGGTGACAAAAAACAGGCGGCGAGAACCTTAAAATGAAGTTTCCTGTGATGGGGAGAAGCTCCCGCATGGTGCCGGGTGTAAAATATGGCAATGGCAGGGTGGTTTTTTTACATTAAAACAATTGGTATGCCTAAAAATATCAAAAGCTGTCATTTGGCTGTTTGTTGGTATGGTATCGATAGGGCTGGAAAACAGCACAAACAGCCTGCTTTCTGTACATCACGTTTCTCTTGCAATATACTTGGGGAGAGCATCTACATCATTGCAGCAGAGGCTTAAATGTGGATGTTGTTGGCCCTTTTGCCCTTAGTTGTTGGTCGAAAGGGAGATTCTGTTGGCAGCATCCCTTACGAAGGGAAGTTGAGCCAGATATTTTTGATTATTCATGTACTTGTTGTCTTGAGTGTGCTGCTGTGGCACAGAGGACCAAAGACAAACTCTTCCAGTCTTTCATACTGTTCTCATTTGACAGAACTTTACGTTGTTTTACTTACCTGGTCTTAATTCTCGGTCTTCTTTCGAGGGAAATACAGCTGGATATTGAAAAGGCAATAGATTCAATGTGATGTGTAACTCTGAATTATCACACACATCGCTGTAAAAGCATTGAGGTTGTAAAGTAAGAATTAAGGTTATATTTGAATAAATCTAAAATGAAAAATGTATAAAATGTATCTTCTGTGTATACACCAACTATTTTTTTTAAGACAAACACCAGGGGGGGAAAAAAGAGGAAGAAACAAATTAACATGCTTTTTTTTTTATGCTCCCTTGTGGAAAAGGGCTCAAATTAATTTGGCTTTCCATTTACATAGCAGAAAATTGGAAAGACTAGCATGAAATATGCCCACTCAGTTTGCGTGGCCAGTCTAAATGCACAGACTGACATCTCAGAATGTTAGCTTTATATTGCAATCAGGCTTTTGGTTGTTTGGTTTTTTGGAACGAGTGGTCTCACTGATTTCAAATTGTAGATCTAAGCGCTCAGCGTTCCTGAAAAAGATATCCTTTCAATTGAAGCCTCCCCAAAATAAGAATCAAATAGCTGTGGAATTTTTGGCCTAAGGTGCTTTTTTTTTTTTTGTTATTATTGACTGTTGTGCTGCAGAAGGGCTTGTATGACAATGGGGAGAGACCATAGCTTGATCCCGGATCTGACTAGTGAACTACCAAGAGCAGTTTGGCCTTGAGCTCCCTCTGCAATCCCTGCTCCATTTATGATTGCTCTCTAGACCAGTGGCGAGCACCAACTCTTTCTAAAACACCTCCAGAGGTGTCTTCCAGTGGTTAAAAAAGAAAACGGGATGCAAATACCACATTCAAATAGCATTGAATGGCATTCTGCAATGGTATTGTATTTATCCTTTGTTAGGAGGCTGAATTAATGTTGCCTGAATGACAATAACTTTTTAAATTTCTAGTTTATAGTGCTGTTTAACAACCTTAATAGTGTTTAATGGTTTAAAAACCATAGTAACGGTTGAAGTAGAAAATTCTGTCATGAAAAGCCATGTAAGTGTCAGTGTTACTAGGATGAAGGTTGGAGCTCTTGGATCTACTGCGGTTTGAGTGGAGTAATGGAGAACGATAACCTGCAGCTTCTGTGTAGACAAGTTTGATGTAAACATGGTGCACGTTTTGCTGGGAGATTTTTGGGATTCTGTCATGTACTCGCCAACAAAGAATTGTGAGGCTCAAGTATCTTGGGAACCTCTCCAGCTGCTTTTGGAAGGTCAAGGAGAAGTCAAAGACGTTTCTCCTTTATTTCTGACCACAAAATCTGACACTGTTTTCTGGGGCTTTCTGGGTTTGTCTTTCCCCCACTTTCCTATTTCCTTAACTTTTCATTTAATTTTCAGTCTCAGTTTGCTTTTCATTCCACCAAGGAAAATCATCCAACATCTTTTTTTTTTTTTTTTTTGCACAAAGTCTGACACTGTTTTCTGGGGCTTTCTGGGTTTGTCTTTCCCTCACTTTCCTATTTCCTTAACTCCTCATTTAATTTCCAGTCTCAGTCTGCTTTTTGTTCCACCAAGGAAAATCATCCAACATATTTTTTTTTTCTCCTTCCATCCAATCCAGACTTTTGTATTTCATCCTGATATTTCCGTTTGCATGATTCTTCCTTAATCTTCCCTCCAGCTGGGGGCTTTTCCCAGGTGGTATTTACTTGGATCATTGGAATCAAGAATAGGTGGTGTCTCTGCCCTCAATGTCTTTCTACAGAGATCTACAGCAGCTGGTAGAAACAGTTACACTGGATGCTTCTTGTGTCTTCCCTGGGGCTTTGACCTGGAATGACCCTATAGCAGGTTGAAATTTTGGGGGACTTAACTAACAAAATGAGTAATTTTGTGTGAGAGTTTGCACAGGCTCATAATTCATTTGCTTCTTAACAGAACAACCACTAAAACAACCCAGTCCTGACACCAAAGTGACTAGCTCTTACAAAACTTGAAATTCTTTCCCTTTCATAAATGGAATTGCTGGAGATTCTTTAAAAAAATTAAAATATTCTAATGTGGGCAGAACAAAATCTATCTCCTCCCATAATTTTTGGTTCCATTCAAGAGAATCTGTTCTGAAACATGAATTGATGACGGATGATTTCATTTTTAATGGTTAACTCCTAGTAAATTTATAACTGAAAGCAGTATCACAGTGTAAAATATTCGGATATTCAAAGTTTTCAAGAGTATTCAAGGTGGTGGTGGGTGTCTCATCCATATTGTTGGGATTGACCTTGGCCTGCAGCTACCACAGAGCCTCACGCCAGGGATAGAGACGGTTTAATAAGTAAAGCAAAAGCTGTGTGAGCAAGCAAAGGCCATGCCAGAGATAGAGACGGTTTAATAGGTAAAGCAAAAGCTGTGTGAGCAAGCAAAGGAGAACAGGGAATTAATTCACCGCTTCCCATGGGCAGGTGGGTGTTCAGCCATCTCCAGGACAGCAGGGCTCAGTGTTTATGGTGACTTGGGAAGACAAATACCTTAAGTCTGAATGTCCCCCCTCTTCCTCCTTCTTCCCCAAAGCTTTTACATGCTGAGCATGATGTCACATGGCATGGAACATCCCTGTGGTCAGTTGGGGTCAGCTGTCCTGGCTGTGTCCCCTCCCAACTTCTTGTGCAGCCCCAGCCCTCGCTGGTGGGGTGGTGTGAGGAGCAGAAGAGGCCTTGATGCTGTGTAGGCCCTGCTCAGCAGTAACTAAAACTTCCCTGTATTATCAATACTGTTTTGGTCACAAATCCAAAAGTTAGCACCATACCAGTTAACTGTCCCATCCCAAACCAGTATACATATCTAGTCTTGAATTCCCACGTCTAAGAGGCCCTGCTCAGCAGTAACTAAAACTTCCCTGTATTATCAATACTGTTTTGGTCACAAATCCAAAAGTTAGCACCATACCAGTTAACTGTCCCATCCCAAACCAGTATACATATCTAGTCTTGAATTCCCACGTCTTCCTTTTTTGTTGAGATGAATTTTGGTGAAAGCGTAAATGTAAAAAGCGTAGTAAGCAGAATGGCCTTCCTGGTTCACCTAGGCGGCTCCAGCACACAGCAGAATAGGTTTCTGATCCCCCAAAATAGGAAAAAATGGGCTTAACCTAGTTTATATCTTGTCTTTCGAAGAACATCTTTCTTCATGCAGGTCACCTGCTTCCAGATGATGTTCATACGGCCTGTGAAAGCGTCTTTAGAGTTGTGCTGGGCCCAGTTGATATCCCTACAGGTCGCTTCGGATTCTGTCGCTGAATCCAAATAATGCTTGGCAGTAGTGGTGGAATATTTAAGGATATAAGATTGTCATATGTATCTTGATAATTAGTTCTTTTGTCCTACTGCTGGCGTCTAGTATTCACTGATGCTCTAGAATTTATGGGTGTTCAGCCATCTCCAGGACAGCAGGGCTCAGTGTTTATGGTGACTTGGGAAGACAAATACCTTAAGTCTGAATGTCCCCCCTCTTCCTCCTTCTTCCCCAAAGCTTTTACATGCTGAGCATGATGTCACATGGCATGGAACATCCCTGTGGTCAGTTGGGGTCAGCTGTCCTGGCTGTGTCCCCTCCCAACTTCTTGTGCAGCCCCAGCCCTCGCTGGTGGGGTGGTGTGAGGAGCAAAGAGGCCCTGCTCAGCAGTAACTAAAACTTCCCTGTATTATCAATACTGTTTTGGTCACAAATCCAAAAGTTAGCACCATACCAGTTAACTGTCCCATCCCAAACCAGCACACACATCTAGTCTTGAATTCCCACGTCTTCCTTTTTTGTTGAGATGAATTTTGGTGAAAGCGTAAATGTAAAAAGCGTAGTAAGCAGAATGGCCTTCCTGGTTCACCTAGGCGGCTCCAGCACACAGCAGAATAGGTTTCTGATCCCCCAAAATAGGAAAAAATGGGCTTAACCTAGTTTATATCTTGTCTTTCGAAGAACATCTTTCTTCATGCAGGTCACCTGCTTCCAGATGATGTTCATACGGCCTGTGAAAGCGTCTTTAGAGTTGTGCTGGGCCCAGTTGATATCCCTACAGGTCGCTTCGGATTCTGTCGCTGAATCCAAATAATGCTTGGCAGTAGTGGTGGAATATTTAAGGATATAAGATTGTCATATGTATCTTGATAATTAGTTCCTTTGTCCTACTGCTGGCGTCTAGTATTCACTGA